AGTTGGACATGACTGAAGTGACTTAGCTTGCATGAAAGCAGAGAAAATACTATGGCATATGCAATATGGGAAGCATATTGGGTTTTAGTTTATGTGCTTCTTTTTAGGAGCTATATGATGTGTTTAGGGGTGAAATGTCATACAGTTTATAACTTACTTTCAAATTGTCCAGCAAAAAATAATGTATACACACATATTTACATAACTGTGCATACACATATATTAGTGAGGCTACAGAGTATTTGATTTAAACAACTAAGTGAAGAAGCTTTATTTATCAGATGAGTACAGAACAGCAGTGAGAGGATATTCATTTTCAGACAAGTATGGAACATTGTTGATGCTGACTACACATTGGTCAAAGAGTCAATACACTTCAAAGAATTTAGAATTATGTAAATCGTGTTCCCTGATTACAGTGAAATTAAAATTTAAAATAATAACTATCATAATTTAAAATCCAATTATTTGGAAATCAGAGCTCATTTATGGCAAGTATGGAGGCTGGATTGGAGGGTATTATGGCTGGAGTAGGAATCCAAGTGAGGAAGCTATTAGTGTCCCAGAGAAGAGCTGGTCAAAGCCTATGTTGAGGCAACATGAGTGGAAACAGTAGGAGAGGTTTGATGACTGATTGTCCTCGGAAGCTGAGGGAGAGTACACAACAGAGCTGAGTTCTGGGTTTTTGGATGGATGGTGGTGGTGTTAATCATGAGAGGAACATGTCGACTGGAATGTCTTTGGGACATGCATATAGACATGGTTAGTTATTGAAATCTGGCACTTGAGAGTGGTTTGAGCAGGATACTGAGATTTTGAGAGGCATCTATGTTTCCATGATAAATAGAGCTTGGGAGTGACCATACCCTTCAGATAAAGGGTTAGAAGACAGTCAAAGAAAGAGTTGTAGGGCATACACAGCAGCTGGATGTGGTCAGAGCAGAATGAGCCTGTGAAGGAGGCGAGGGAAGTGGTCACAAGTGAATTGAATGGATGCTTGATTTCAGGTGAACTCTGAGGAAAGCAAGGTAAATAGTGTTGAGGACTAGAGGCCTTTGGCTGTAAGTTACAATGCCTTATATTTCACTTGCTTTCATTACAGAAACCCCAAATATTCATCACTTTACCAGCATTTTCTTTTCCTAGTCTCCCTGTCTCTTACTATTTGTTTTACAGAAGTGACTTAAAATTTATCTTTCAGAACTGAAATGCTAGAGTTGATATAATTGGTTTAGAGACTAGATCTTACGTAGAGGGAATAGTTATGAGCACAAAGATGTTACGGTCTTCCCCAGTGACTCAGCAGTAAAGAATGTGCTTGCAATGCAGGAGCCGCAGAAGAGGTGGGTTTGATCCCTGGGTTGGAAAGATCCCCTGGAGGAGGGCATGGCAACCCACTCCAATATTCTTGCCTGGAGAATTCCATGGACAAAGGAGCCTGGCGGGCTGCAGTCCATAGGGCCACAAAAAGCTGGACACTTCTGAAGCAGTTCTGCACAGCAGAGATGTTATAATTTGCCCTAAGAAGTCTTGTTCCTCATCTAAAGGTTTACCTAATGTAGGATCTTCATATGCTATAGTTGTCTTTTTAGAAATCTCCTTTAGCTCTTGTAGGGAAAGAGCAACTTATTCAAGATGGTGGTCATCAGGCTCTCTTGCCCCCTTGACCTCGCACTCTCGCCCCACGTGTTGTAAATTCATGGTTATGTAACAGCTGAGAGCACTGCGCATGTGCATCATGATGTACCCGCTTGGGCACAGGCCTCTTTTGTTCTGTAAACATATATACGCTCCACCTGAAAAGCCCTTGAAGGTGCGTTATGACTGTGTCCTCTGGGTCAGCTGTGAGGGAATACAGCATGTGTGCTGCTGCAGCTGCCACGCCAGTGAGGAGAGAATGAACATGTCTGCCGTTCCTGAGGCGCCGTGAGTTTTCTTCCAGCGTCCCGCCTCTGGTCTTGCCTACCCTGGGTTCAGTGAATGGTGAGATACAGTGAGACAACTGGCGTAGCTCACAGTGTTAACAGCGAGACCATTCTATACTTTTTTAAAGGCAGTATAATTGTACTTATTTTCTATTTTGGATGTAGAAGTAACATGATTTAGTTCAATGGTACTATAGAGGCTTTCATTTTAGTGATTAAATGGATAATTCCCAAAGTTTTAAATATTTTCCCACAAAATATGCATATCATTTGCTTTATTAATTATTGTAGTAGCACAGGCTTAGTTCCCTTAGCGTCATTGTACAATTCACTCTCTAGATCTATGGGTTGCGTATCTCATGACCTTTCCTCGCATCCTTTTTCTCCTTCACTTTTCTGCAGTGAGTTTCATGTTAGTCATGTTGTCCACTGAGAATGGCAGTGTTTTATTAACACTACATACTACATCTCCCCTCTCTATGAGTTAGTATGGCAATTTTCACTCAGTTCAGTTCAGTTGCTCAGTCGTGTCTGACTCTTTGCGACTCCATGAAACGCAGCATGCCAGGCCTCCCTGTCCATCACCAACTACCAGAGTCCACCCAAACCCATGTCCATCGAGTCGGTGATGCCATCCAACCATCTCATCCTCTGTCATCCCCTTCTTCTCCTGCCCTCAATCTTTCCCAGCATCAGGGTCTTTTCAAATCAGGCAGCTCTTTGCATCAGGTGGTCAAAGTATTGGAGTTTCAGCTTCAACATCAGTCCTTCCAATGAACACCCAGGACTAATTTCCTTTAGGATGGACTGGTTGGATCTCCTTGCAGTCCAAGGAACTCTCAAGAGTCTTCTCCAACACCATAGTTCAAAAGCATCAATTCTTCAGTGCTCAGCTTTCTTCACAGTCCAACTCTCACATCCATACATGACCACTGGAAAAACCATAGCCTTGACTAGACGGACCTTTGTTGGCAAAGTAATGTCTCTGCTTTTTAATATGCTGTCTAGGTTGGTCATAACTTTCCTTCCAAGGAGCAAACATCTTTTAATTTCATGGCTGCAGTCACCATCTGCAGTGATTTTGGAGCCTCAAAAAATAAAGTCAGCCACTGTTCCACTGTTTTCCCATCTATTTGCCATGAAGTGATGGGACTGGATGCTATGATCTTAGTTTTCTGAGTGTTGAGTTTTAAGCCAACTTTTTCACTCTCCTCTTTCACTTTCATCAAGAGGCTCTTTAGTAGTTCTTCACTTTCTGCCATAAGGGTGGTGTCATCTGCATATCTGAAGTTATTGATATTTTTCCCGGCAATCTTGAGTCCAGCTTGTGCTTCTTCCAGCCCAGCGTTTCTCATGATGTACTCTGCATATAAGTTAAATAAGCAGGGTGACAATATACAGCTTTGACATACTTGTTTTCCTATTTGGAACCAGTCTGTTTCACTCAGTAGATATTCCTTAAATAAGTACAATAAAAGAATACACATTGGATACCATGGTTATTAAGAATGCAGGCTCTAGAAATTGCCTGCTTGGGTTTGAATATTGTCTCTGCCTACTGCTAGCTGTATAACCTTAGAAAACTTCATCTCTATTTCTCTGCTTCACTTTCCTTATTTGTAAAAATGGAGATAATGGGGTGGTTGCAAGAATAAAAAATGATAATCCATATACAGCAATTAGCACACTTGGTGTATGGCAAATGTTTTTAAATGTTCTGTTTTTAAGACTCAAACTTATAAATTCTTTACTTTTCACCTTAATATATTTCTCAACTTACCATGTATCTTTATATGAAGTGTGTCTTTTGAGCTGTATATCACCCTCCAATGTAAGCATGGCAGAAATTATCCTTTTCCCATTAATCACCTAATTATTAATTGTTGTAATAACACAAATAATTACTAATAACTAGGATAGTAATTGCTGTTAATAAGCAATAATTAAGCACCCTCATGAAATCTGCTATGGTGCTAGGTCAGAGTGAAGAAGGGTGAACTTACAGTCAAGGACAATGGGTTTGATCCCTGGTTTAGCACTTTTAAAACTCAGGTCTTGGGTAAACTGCTTTGCTGATGTATAAAAGAGAATAATCACAAAAATTCACCAGAACTCCAATTTTCAGGTTTAAGTGTGAGATAATCCACAGGAGTGCTAGCCAACATCCCTAATATATTATGAATAGTAAATATTAGCATTCTGTTTTCCATTTCTCTAAATTTTTTATGGTCTTTGTTATACATTTTAAATCTAAACTATGTAATGCTGTCTAGTGTACTCTTTTATTCATTAGCATTGACATACCAACTAATTTGTAAATATTTCTGAAATGGTTTAATCTCATATGTTCTCTGTATCTTTAATATCTTTTTAAGTTACCTGAGCTAGTTAACTAGAAGGTCCTTACTAGATATGACAATATTTTGTTGCACTGTTTCAAACTATGTTAGTCCCATATGTTAGGACTATGTTAGTCCCATTATCTGAACAAATAAAAGTAATACGTATTTTAAAATATTTATCTTAAGTTTCTCTTTAGACTCTAAGAACTTGATTTTTTTTTTTTTAATGCAGAACCTTTGCCTTTTGTGGATTTAAATCTTTCTAGCAAATGGAGGAGATTTCTGGAGCTCTCAGTGTTCCTATTACATTAACTAATTAACTAATGATTGCTAAATTATTTTGAAATAGCAGGTTCTCCTATAAAAGCTAAGCCTTATGAAGATAAGGATGACAATAATGCTGATATGTATAAAGGAGACTGTATTCTCGGTTTGTGCTGTATTCTTGCTGATATTTCTCTACAAAGGGAGCGATCTCCTTTCTGATATATGCAGTTCATTTACTCTATACTTGCAGTCCTAAATTTTAGTAATTGCAAAACATCTGAGGAGCATGGGGTGAAAAAAGACACTCAAATGTGTTTTTAGGCTATCTTTTTATTGGTAATTTTTTTGAAAAATATTGTACCTGTTATTAAAAAATCTGTGATTTGCAATTTAATTCAAAACATGCACTTAGACCTTGAAAACTAATAGTATACAATTAAAACTTTTTTTTTCTTTCAAATTCAAGAACAAGTTAAACTGGATAAAATAGTGACTAATATTGAATCAGTGAGTAAAGAAATGGAGAAAGAAAAGCAATTGCACCATGGGAAAACCAGGTAAGGAAGGTGTAATTGGCTAACCTATGAACCACATACACTTTTCTTCTCCTTTGCTGGTATTTCTTGACCAATTGTCATGGTTTCTCAAGTCTTTTAACACCCCACACATGAGGCTAATTTATCCTTCTGCTTCAGTACCTCAAAGAACATCAGTTATCAAAATTTTAGTTTTCAGTTCAATTAACTTTTGAACTGAACTGGAGGATGTCTGAATAGTTAAGCAAACCATCTGGGTTTTACAGTGCATAAGCTCAAATCCAGTTTGTGTTTTTCTTGAGAAAAATGCCATATTTTATGGTAATATTACATAAGTTTGGAATTTTAATAATTAATATGCAGCAATTATGGAGCAGAGTTAAGATAATTTTTCCTTTTTAATGTAATAATTTAAAATTAGTGTGTTTTCTAACAGAAGATGAGGCTGATCCTACAGAGCATACTTTGAAGGCAGGAATTTTGAGCATTGCTTCTGCTGTCTAAAGGTGTCTGGAGATGGGTCAGTTACTTTTCTGAATTAGTCCACTAAATAGCAGCATCACCTTTGGGATAATGTTACAATTGTGTACATAAGTTTTGGCCCTGAAGCTGCAGATAGAAACTGTAAAGGCTCTTCAGCACATTTTGTAAGAACATTTATACTTGTAGAATGTAAATGCTGTTCTGTTAAGATGTATATTTCAGTGGCTTGTTCTACGTTAATTCATTATATAACATGATCAGAAATGTGGGGTATTAGGTAACAGAAGTTAAAGAAAATATTGCTATGGCTGTAAAGAATGTCTTGGCTCTTCCAAAACTTACCTGCAAGGTGTGCTTAGCACTACAGGTTTCATGCTCAGCAGTAAAAGGTAATACTATAGGAATTTGGAAGAGTGAAATATATGTACAGCTTTAATAATGATGATTTGGTTTTACCCATGGTAAGAGAACATATGGATTATAGAAGAAAAGAAATGATTTATATAGGAAATTTACCAGTTTAAAAACTTTTGCCTTTACTTGAGTTAACCCAAGACCCAGGTTAGTCTAGCACAGTGGTACCTGATAAAAGAGTAGTTAATGTGGCAATTTAACGAAAGAGTTGAGAATTTCAGGTAAACTGTAAAACTAGAAAAGCTAAATGGAACTAATTTGAAAAGCTACCATTTTTAGTATATTAGATGGAGCTGTGGTCCAAGGAAGAAGAAGAATAATTTAGGGACACTCATTAATAATAAATCTGATCATTTAATATCTTTCAGCATGTCTTTCTAAAGAGTGTTGAGTATTTCCTTAAGAATTGTTTCTTCTGAAATTGGTAAAGATAAAGGTTTCTTGACATTCTAACATTCCATAGTTAATGAAAACATGTCCTGCTCAATGAGGAAGGTCAACACCTTTTGAAATTAAAAGTACTTCAGTGACAGCTTGGGACACACAGACCCGTAATATCATCAATCCACCAGAGGCTGCCTTGTCTTTATTTATAGCTGACTTATGGGGATAATGTGTTTCCTACCCCCTGGAGCTAGCTTCATTTCACAAACGTTAGAAGTAGCCGACCCATGAGGCTCTAAAGGACAGAAAGGAAAACAGAATCAGTCAGGAAATCAGGTAGGAGATTGTTAGCAATGCAGAGAAGGCACTAGGACTAATTAGTATAAATTGTCTGACTCTTTGTAAGACTCTGGGAAAGTTTCTACTCCAAACAAATAGAGTCCTGTGACAGGAGTTGTATGTGAATTACTTTTAATTCCCCAGAAGATGCCTTAGAAAACACTAACTTTTAAGGATGAACCATAATATTTTCAGGTGTACCATAAAAATATTGGCCCAGCAAAAGAAATTCCGTATAAAATACATGAAGAAATATGATAGAATCTTATAAATGTTTGTTTTTACCCCAAATTTCTCCATGTTTAACTTGCAAAGGAAAACAAAATTGAATACTTCTGCATATTCAAATTTAGGTTTAAGGAAGTGAAGTTATTCAATGTACCTTTGAATCCTAACTTCAAAGATTAATTATATATTAAATACTCTTATGACAACAATGATAAATGTGAGTGTATTCTAAATATTAACTTTCCATCAAGGAAATTTATTTATTATGTATTTATCTATTGGAGCTAATTTTTTACTTGATAATATTTGGTACATTTGAAGGTATGACAACTGCATTTCTGTAAATGTGTTCTATATTTTAGACAAATGAGCCTCAACTTCTTCCCCTAGTTTTGTGATAAGTGGGAGTTTCTTATATGTTACATGACTATTTGTACTTAGGTTATTCTAATTAATAACAGAATGAGGACATTATAAAATAATGATAGAATCCCTCATGTCATTTCACATTTGTGTTAACTCTGGCATTTTATCTTAATGTTTGTAAAATATTTTGCTTAGTGGATGAATTTTAGTCTGCTTCTATCAGAATCTTTCATTAATAGAGAATCATTGAAAAATGCAATTAATAGTTCTAATTTTGAGATTTGTGTAAAAATATTTAGCCAGGGACTAGTTTTAAGGAAGCAAATCAAACTACAACTATGTACCTTGGCCCCATTCTGGGTAGCATATAAATAAAATTCTAGAATTTCAAATGGAGTTAGGCAAAGCTGCCTGCGTACTCAAACCTCTCATATTTTCCATTGACAATATGATTTTGTCATATAAGGGATATCTCAGTTCTTTGGTCAACTGCATAATCGTGAACCACATGAGTGACAACTAGACTAACAGAGCCTATAAATCACTCATTGATTTACACCTACTCTATGCCAGCTATAAAACTCAAAATAGGACAGTCACAGACTTTCCTTTTTGACCATACTTTTTTGATGGGCAGAATGTTTTTAAATCCTAAAAATTTGTGTAACATTTCTAAAATTTTTGAACTAGCAATTCCAGTTCACAATTGAAGTGGATTTTGAACAATCCAATTGTTCAAATTGGATTCAAATTGGTCTAGAATTTCTAGGCCAAAATAATGATGTGCATCTTTGTACATTTACAAGGAAATGCATTAGTTGTATATTGTCAAATATAAGAAATAAGCTAAAAAGTTCATGTACATTTATGTACACCTAAATGTAAGTGTGGAGTGTATTACACATGTTAATCGTGACAAATGGAGTTGGTGATAGATAGTAATATGGTGTTTACTTAGTTTGCTAAATCCCACTGCCTTGATGCAAATCCTGACTCCACCCATTTCTAACTGGAGTAATCTGAACTGTAGCCTATCTAACCCCTAATCTTTTAGTTTCTTCCTTTATAAAATGGGTATAGTAGTAGTAAATACCCAGAAGCTTGTTTTGAGTATTAAATGTAAGACACGTAAAAAAGTTAGACTAGTGCTTAACTCATAGGAAGAATGACTACTAGGGTAGTGAATTAGGGGTAATTTTTGTTTTCTTACTTTTGCTTATTTCCATTTTCCAAAGTTTCTGCATGGTACCCATTTTTAGATTCAGCTGACTTGGTCGAAGCTCTCCAAGTCTCTCCAAGTCGTAATAGAAGAACATGTTACTTAGTATCTTTGAAAAATGGAAGAAACAGATGTGATGTGTGTTGGTTTCTAATTTTTATTAGAGTTTTTCTTTTAGAAAGCAAAAGTTACATATTATCCTTGCCCAGAGGCAGCAAAATTTGGTATTACTTTGTCTTTATTCAATAGTGAATGCATAGAGGGCCTGCTGTGTGCTCCTTACTCTGCAGTGAGGGCACCAAGGATAGGTAGTCAGAGTCTCTGTCGATAGGAGAGAAGTGGTTTTCTCTCTGATTAGCATCTGATCTTGCAACATTATTCTAGAGTTTGTATTACAAAATAAGGGCTAGTCAGTCACTCAAAGCTCTTGCTTCATGTTTTGGAAACAGAAAGCTGGACTCCTTTTCTGCCTTCCCCATCATCAACCTTGGCCTGCATTTACGACCCAAGACCTCCTCTTCCGTGGGGCAGCTGAAAGAGCATGGTGAGTCTCACTGCCTAAGTGCGGTAGCAACTTGGTGATTCTTCATTGTTCAGTATTCATTTAAAAAGCAGACTCAAACAGCTAGTATTGAACAGTCATTTCTTTTGTATTTCATTTCAAATAATGTATCACAAGATAGAGATTTCAGAAGCAACTAGTACTAACTAATGTTCAGCTCCTTTATTCAAACTTTAGAGATTGGATTTTTTATTAATGTGTGTAAATATTGAAGGTTATAGAAAATTATAAGGATACATTCTTAGAATTTTAAATGTTTCTCTGTAGTTGAGTTATTGTTGTTTACCAAAATATGTATTTATATTTCTTCAAAAGAAAATATAGATGAACTTCTAAAAGTCCCTTAAGTGTGACTGAACAACTGTTTGGAACTTGGTCAGCTGTGTGATAACTTGGGGGCTATTGATTCAAAGAAAGCTGTTTTGTAGTTTTCCCTCTTTAACTTGTTACTCATGTCTTGAGCTTCAGGCTATCATTAAGAGAAGACTTTTCTTGTAAGAGTGGGGCTTTGATTGATGTTGGAATAAATTTTTTGAAATTTGCAGAATAAACTCCTTCTTGGGTTCTCAAGGTGCTCTTGTTTAAAATTTGCTTTATCCAACAATAATTTTACTAGCCTTTATTTGTTTGGATTACTTTAGAAAGAATTTAAACATCAACTGGAGGTTCATCAAATGCATTTTTGTTAATCCAACTAGTGTTTTCCCAAACTATTAGTATTTGTGAATATAATATCAGAATCTTGAACACATATAATAGGCCTATTTAAAATTTTTGGTTGTATTTGTCCATATCTTAAATTCTTTTAAGGCTTGATCAGATAATTTGAAGCCTCAGAGTAGTAGAATAATGTGTAGGTCTCCATTGAGTCTAGAATTAAGTATATATGTAAAGAGGTAAATGCTGTCAAAAATTCCTCATATGGTATAGGATCCAGTGGGTGAAATAGTTTTAATAGATAATGATCCTGAAATTTGATAACCCTGAAAGCTTCTACATAATGGAAGTTCTACTAATTGTGTGACATTTAGGGTTTATTCAGGGCTTCCCTCGTAGTTCAGTTGGTAAAGAATCCGCCTACAATGCTGGAGACCTGGCTTTGATTCCTGGGTCAGGAAGATCGACTGGAGAAGAGATAGGCTACCCCCTCCAGTATTCTTGGGCTTTCCTGGTGACTCAGCTGGTAAAGAAGTTGCCTGCAATGAGGGATACCTGGGTTCGATCCTTGGGTTGGGAAGATCCCCTGGAGAAGGGAACCACTACCCACTCCAGTATTCTGGCCTGGATAATCCCGTGGACTGTATAGTCCATGGGGTTGCGAAGAGTCGGACATGACTGAGCGACTTTCACTTTACTTTAGCGTTTATTCAGGATCATCCTAAGGGTTGATGAAAGCCTCTGTTTTCAAATACCATCCACCTCAGGTAAATCACACGTCTCTTTCCATTTTGTAGGGAGCGTATCAGTCCACTGAAGGGTTCAGTAATTTTCATGGCTCTAATCTGAAATTAGAAATGTGAATCTTCTTTCTCTGTACGTGTGGAGCTTACTATACAGGGGCTTGACCACTGTTGGTTTACTGCTAAAGAAAAGATGGAAGAACTTTCTTCTAAAATATTTGTTGAGAGAATCCCAGTTACTAGCTATACATTATTGTGAAATTCTGACTAGAGGGTTGGCAGAATGGGCAGATCCCTACATGATGTGATTTGAGATTTGCTAAAGATTCTATCTGTGCAAAAATGTTCTGCTGAAATATCTAAAATATTTCTCAATACTAATAGAACCATAGCTTCTTGGAAGCTAAAGAATTCCTATACTTATCACAGTGACTGGCACATATTGAACATTAATAAACATTTGTTAAATGAATGAATAAGTGAAGATAAAAGGAGAAGCTACTCGAATAGAATGTCCTTCTATATATCTCTCTGTTTCTGTTTCTACACAGTAGGCTAAAACTTGATAACTGATAAAAGAAAAAAGAACTTGGGAAAATATAATAACAACAGCAGTGAATATAAACATGCAAAAGGATAGCACTGGACACAGTACTTTTACAGTTCTTGTTAAATCAGAATTACATGGAGACTGCACAGATACCATAAAAATAAGTAGAATGTTATACAGTGTTTTTCACGTGTTTTAAAAGCAAATTGTTGGGTAGATTATTAGTTTCACAATCCAAGTCTCTCAATACCCATAAACATCATGGGAAATTCAAAGGTTGAACTGGCTAAAAGGGTAAAAATTGCAATAAAAATCTTTATTTCCAAATGCTGCAGGGTAGCTCTTTTCTTCCCCTTAAATTGAAATGTATTTTTAACCTAGTAAGAATGGGAATTTCATCCCTGTTTTGTTGTATGTGAAGTTTTTGTTTTATTTTGTTTTGTTTTAAGCTAAACCACTCTTCTATAATTGCAACATTAAAAAAAAAAATAAGGGCAGAAATATCTGAAGCCCTGTGGTGTCATAAACTTATTTTATGTAAGCTGTTAGCAAAATATGGAAAATGTTGATTTTCTTTTTGAATAACTGAGGTATGGTCCTGGCTTTGTGTCTTGGATGAAAAAATAATGAATATATTTTTAAGCTTGTCAATTTTTTAGTTCATTTTGAGGTTATAGTCTAAACATTTGCACAACAAAGCTTTTTCTCCATATATTATTATAACTCTAGTAAGTTACAGCTTCACTGAACGTCTGAAAACAGCCACTGAGATCTGTTTAATAAGAGAATGTTGCTTAAATTGTGAAAGAATGTAGAACTTGTGGTTTCTCTGGGTTGTATGGTAATTTACTGGGCTCTTAAAGTTGCCCAGTTAATTTTTTTTAGGATAAAAAATTATTCTTAAAGGAAAAAGGAAAGGAAATTAAGGCAAATAGGAATTAAGGCAAACATAGGACTTAAGGCAAAGTCATGATTTCAATCCATATGACTTATAAAATGTATCATACGTAATAGTAGTATTATTTATATATATATAAATATATGTACCTTGTACCACCAAAGTCTTGCCCTTTAAAGCCGTATAGCACAGTGATTCTTAAGAGTGAGGGCATTGGAGTTACTGCAGTTACTCTAATGAGGCTAGAATTCTGGCTCTCCCAGTTTCTAGCTGGAAAACCTCATCCAAGTTAATCATTCTGTGACTCAGCTTCTTCATTGTTTAAATGGGATAATAACAATACCGACCTAGAATTTTTTAGATAATCCTTGTAAAATATATAACATATATCCTAGTGCTTAATAAATAGAGTAGTAATTCTTAGCTGCAATTCCCTAGATAAAATGTTCGTAGGCCTGGAGATCACTTTTTGAATTTTTTCTCAGCTATACTCATTCTCTTGGTAATATTATTCAATCCATAGGTTTAACTACCATTTATATGCAGTTGACTCCAAATCTGTATCTCCAGCCAGGTCATTCTCTTCAACTCCAGCTCACATTCAAATGCTTAATCAACATTTCTGCCTAAGTTGTTATTAGGCATTTTCAGCTTAACATCTCCAACTCATTAACTGTGTACATGTTGTGTTCTGCCAGAAAGCTCTTGACCTCAGACATCACAGCATCACTCCATTACTGATTCTTGTGGCGGTGGTTCAGTCGCTAAGTTGTGTCCGACTCTTGCGACCCCATGGAGCCCATCAGGCTCCTCTGCCCATGGGATTTCCCAGGTAAGATTATTGGAGTGGGTTGCCATTTCCTTCTCCAGGGGATCTTCCCAATCCAGGGATTGAACCCATTTGTCCTGCATTGCAAGCAGATTCTTCACCACTGAGCCACCATTGTGGGCTTTGTCCAAATGCCTTCTGATCAGTGGGGCATCCCTGACCAGCCTATTATAGTAGCAGCTGTGCCTCCCAGCCCCATCTACCAGTCCTGCTTTGTTTTGATCTCTAACACTTAAGGCATTAGGACATTTTACTACTGTTTTACTTCTCTGGTTTTGTCTGTTTCTCCTGCTAGAAGGTAATCTCCATGAATGCAGGTAGTTTTGACTAATTAATTCTTTACTAAAGCTCATGGACCCAGAATCATTCCTGGAACATAGAAAGTGCTCATTATATTTTGTTGGATGAATGAAGATACTGCTATTATATTTTCTAAAAGAGTGGTATCAATTTTCAAATTTTTTTCTATTCAGTGAGAAATTTATCTAATTTATTAAAATAATATTTTCACCAACTGAGCTCAAATATGCTGTTTTCATTTTGAATAAAAAAGTTACAGCTGAAAAAAATTACAGCCTTGGGTGTGTATGTGTTTTGAGTATAAGGTGAACAACTATGTAATTACGGAAAAGCTTCTGGATACAGGTCACTGGAAAATACAAGTTAAATATGATAAGAAATAATTTAAAAACCTTGGCTGGACTGCCAGGAAAGGGCAAAAATGATAAAACCAGAAAATATCAGAAAGCCTGATTCCAAGAGGTTTAATATTTCTTAGAGTAATTAACAGACTGGTTCCATATAGGAAAAGGATTACATCAAGGCTGTATATTGTCACCGTGCTTATTTAACTTATATGCAGAGTACATCATGAGAAATGCTGGGCTGGAGGAAGCACAAGCTGGAATCAAGACTGCCGGAAGAAATATCAATAACCTCAGATATGCAGATGACACCACCCATATGGCAGAAAGTGAAGAAGAACTAAGGAGCCTCTTGATGAAAGTGAAAAAGGAGAGTGAAAAAGTTGACTTAAAGCTCAACATTCAGAAAACAAAGATCATGGCATCCGGTCCCATCCCTTCATGGCAAATAGATGCAGAAACAGTGGAAGCAGTGGCAGACTTAATTTTCTTGGGCTCCAATATCACTGCAGATGGTGATTGCAGCCATGAAATTAAGACGCTTACTCTTTGCAAGAAAAGATATGGCCAACCTAGATAGCATATTAAAAAGCAGAGACATTGCTTTGTCAGCAAAGGTCCATCTAGTCAAGGCTATGGTTTTTCCAGTGGTCATGTATGG